ATCATTAATAAACTTTACTCTATTTTTACACAAAACATCATGTATAGCATTGATTTCTGCAGGATCACCTGCTCTGGTTCCAGTAGCATGTGCTTCAATGTAATCTAAGCAAGATGTTGATACTCCGCACTCATTATAAAATTCCTTCAATAAAATATTCTGCATATGTGTTGAAGGATATGTTATTCCTTCTTCTTTGTAACCATCATTGTTCATTTTAATATATGGACATATGGCATAAATTCTTTTAGCATTCTTCGCCTTTTGAAGATATAATACAGCCACTGTTTCACTACGTGAATAACCGCTTGCAGCAACATCGAAAGGTCTGCAGTAACCATTGGATGACAAGATACCTAAACTCGTACATAGTATACATATTTTAGTAAATATTTGATAAATGTCTCTGTTTCTGATTGTAGTCTGTTTAAAAACATTAAAAGATTATGCATCTCATCAGTAAAAATAGACCGTATAGAAGCGTATACAAAGTAGCAACCGTATAAAAGTATAAAATATGTTCTATATATAATATATGTTCTATATATACTAAATAGTTTTTATGAAAGTTATAAAGCCTTCTTAAATTGACTCTTTTTATTTGATAAAGAAAATTTAATTTCATGCCTAGTATATCATGAGATTAATATTATCATTTAATACCAAGACGAGCAAATTGCAGAGTTATCAATGGATGTAGACACAAATGTGATCCCGCAATTATTGCGTCTTTGCATCTGCCTGAAATGATATAATGATAAGCAAGAGCAAAAGCATATAAACTAGAGCTGCATGCGGTATCGACTGTATAGGATGGTCCTTTCAGATCCAGAAAATACGAAATCATGTTTGCTGTTGTAGACCTTAAGCATCCAACGAAATTTGTACCGTTTATCTATAATTATAAAATATCTATGGTTAGAAATTTTTATATTTCTGAAGAATACATTAATTATTATTACATATTTATTTATCAATAATTTTTTTACCTGTAGATCCGTACTTAGAAGTTTCTCTTGTGTTTCAACAAAAGATATCGCTACGATGACTGCAGTATTTTTCCTCGTAACTGTTTTGGGTTAATTCCCGCATCGATAATAGCTTCATAAGAATGCTCC